TGACTCAATTATACTAAGTTTGACTCGATTATAGTTGAGTCAATTCAAGTATAGTCGAGTCAAATTTAATATAATCGAGTAAATTCTAGTATGATCGAGTAAATTCTAGTATAATCGAGTCATTTCTAGTATGATCTATTCAATTATAGTATAATCGATTCAAATTCTAATATGATCAATTCAATTATGCGTATTCATTTTACCAAGAAACGTACTCATTTTATAAAGGAACATGTTCATATTACCAAGACACTTATTCATTTTACAAAAGTAACATATTCAAAGGAACATGTTCATTTTACCAAGACACTTATTCATTTTACAAAGTAACATATTCATTTTACCAAATATAACTGAGTCAAACTTAGTATAATTGAGTCAAACTTAGCACAATCGAGTCAATTGTAGTATGATCGAGCCAATTCTAGTATAGTCGAGTCATTTCTAGTATGATATATTCAATTATAGTATAATCGATTCAAATTCTAATATGATCATTTCAATTCTAGTATGATCGATTCAAATTCTAGTATGATCGATTCAAATTCTAGTATAGTCGAGTCAAACTTAGTATAATCGAGTCAAATTCTAGTATAATCGAGTCAAATTCTAGTATAGTCGAGTCAAACTTAGTATAGTCGAGTCAAATTCTAGTCGAGTCAAATTCTAGTATAGTCGAGTCAAACTTAGTATAATCGAGTCAAATTCTAGTATAGTCGAGTCAAACTTAGTATAATCGAGTCAAATTCTAGTATCGTCGAGTCAAACTTAGTATAATCGAGTCAAATTATAGTATAATCAATTCAAATTCTAATATGATCAATTCAATTCTACGTATTCATTTTACCAAGAAACGTATTCATTTTACAAAGGAACATGTGCATTTTACCAAGACACTTATTCATTTTACAAAGTAACATATTCAAAGGAACATGTTCATTTTACCAAGACACTTATTCATTTTACAAAGTAACATATTCATTTTACCAAGTAAAACTGAGTCAAACTTAGTATAATTGAGTCAAACTTAGCACAATCGAGTCTATTGTAGTATGATCGAGCCAATTCTAGTATAGTCGAGTCATTTCTAGTATGATATATTCAATTATAGTATAATCAATTCAAATTCTAATATGATCAATTAAATTCTAGTATAGTCGATTCAAATTCTAGTATGATCGATTCAAATTCTAGTATAGTCGAGTCAAACTTAGTATAATCGAGTCAAATTCTAGCATAATTGAGTCAAATTCTAGTATAGTCGAGTCAAACTTAGTATAATCGAGTCAAATTCTAGTATAGTCGAGTCAAACTTAGTATAATCGAGTCAAATTCTATAGTCGAGTCAAACTTAGTATAATCGAGTCAAATTCTAGTATAATTGAGTCAAATTCTAGTATAGTCGTGTCAAACTTAGTATAATCGAGTCAAATTCTAGTATAGTCGAGTCAAACTTAGTATAATCAAGTCAAATTATAGTATAATCGATTCAAATTTTAATATGATCAATTCAATTCTACGTATCCGTTTTACCAAGAAACGTATTCATTTTACAAAGGAACATATTTATTTTACCAAGAAATCAGATGTTCATAATCGAGTCAAATACTGTGTAATATGTTCATCTTACTATATAACATTATGTAGCATGTTCATCTTATTTTGTAACATGTTCACCTTATTGTGTAAATATGTAACATGTTCATCTTATTTTATAATATGTTCATCTAAATTTCATCTTTAAAATGCAACATTCTCATTTTGTAACATGTCCATCTTATTTTATAACATGTTCACCTTATTTTGTAAATATGTAACATTTTCATTTTATTCTATAACATATTCATCTTACTATATAACATGTTCATCTTACTATGTAACATATTCATCTCATTATGTAACATGTTCATCTTATTTTATAACATGTTCATCTCATTTTGTAACATATCCATCTTATTTTGTAACATGTTCGTCTTATTGTGTAAATATGTAACATGTTCATCTTATTCTTTAACATGTTCATCTTACTATATAATATGTTCATCTTACTCATTTTGTAACATATCCATCTTATTTTATAACATGTTCACCTTATTTTGTAAATATGTAACATTTTCATCTTATTATATAACATATTCATCTTCCTCAAGGAAATAAATAGCTCGCTAAATTTGCCGCTATTTGAGAAATAACTTTTTTTGGCAGCGTGCCGCTATTTGTATTCGTGTGCAATTTAGCCGCTATATCCCGCTATATCTCCGCTATTACTCCGCTATAGCTACAGTGCTATAAGCGTCTTAGCCTGCTATTTAAAACTTTATTCTTACTATATAACATGTTCTTCTTACTATGTAACATGTTCATCTTATTATATAACATGTTCATCTTACTATGTAACATGTTCATCTTATTTTATAACATGTCCATCTCATTTTGTAACATGTTCACCTTATTGTGTAAATATGTAACATGTTCATCTTATTTTTTTTATTATTTATTTATTTATTTATTTTTATACATGTTCTTCTTATTTTATAACATGTTCATTTCATTATGTAACATATCCATCTTATTTTACAACATGTTCACCTTATTTTGTAAATATGTAACATTTTCATCTTATTCTATAACATGTTCATCTTATTATATAACATGTTCATCTTACTATGTAACATGTTCATCTTATTATAGATTTGCGTCATCATCTTCTAATAACATAAATTAATTATATTCCAAAATCTATCAAATGTGGCCTCTATTTGTAGAGAATGAAAAATTATGAATTTTCATATTTTTATTTTTATTTTTTAATATAAAATATAGTTGATAATTTAATTTATTTAATATGATATATAAAATTCATTAACCTATAAAAATAAGACACATGTCTCATTTAAACAATACTTACTTTATCTCACTTACCTTGTCCCACGCGCTTTTTGAGAGAGCTGTAATTCACACAAGCCTTGGTACACCTAGCTAGGTGTGCCAAAGCACACCTAAGTATTTGCGCCCAAGAATAAGCTTGGAAAAAAGCATAGAATTGAAAATCAGACCGAACCTGCCGGTTCAATTGATTGGACATGGAATTGGTCTTTATTTCGATCAGATTGAGCTATCAAACCGCCAAGCAGGTGAACCGATCAAGAATTGTTCGAACTGGTACAAAACTGATTGAACCGGTGAATCGGGACCGGTTCAAATGGTTCACCGATTCAAGCTTATGAATTTGAAATTTTTTCTTTATGAAGTAATTAAGTAGAACACATTTTTTATTTGTATTTTTTATACGAGATATGTTCCCTTGTTGAAATTATTGGACCAATATTGGGTGTTACAAGTAAAATTCTACTCATTAAAAACATTGTATTGGTTTTTTAAGTGGACTATCAATTGAGCTCTATTTATTCCAAACTTATTTAAAAAATTGAAGCAATTTATTGTTGTTTGTTATGCACATTATTTTTATTTTTTGTTGTTTTAATCAATAATAAAAAATCTAAAATGTGATTTAAAATGAAAATTGGGTTGTTTCCAATTTCTCTATTTTGTAACTTAAATAAAGATTAAAATTTAAAATATAAAATAAGATAAAAAAATTAACAATACTATTCAACATTGTCGGTTGTACCCAATAGCGCTTGGATGAGATGGCTTGGGTCTCTTCCAGCTTAACCAGTGGTCTCGTGTTCCAGCTCTGAGAATGCAGCAGTGTTAAAACTCTTGAGGGAGAGCTTTGCCGCCCTTGTGGTCCTACCCGGCTCGATTCCGGATTAGTCGGTTCCCATGTGGATTCGGAAACCAGAAGGTCTCTATACCAAAAAAAACATTGTCGGTTGTATCTATTATTGAACTGTTATTTAAAAAATGTCATACACTATAAAATTAATAAAAAAAGTATATATAACTATATTTTATACATATAAAATAAATAATAAATTATATATTAATTACGATTCGACTAATTCAACCGTTGGTCCGACCAGTGAACCATTGAACCACTAACTTTATCGATTCGATGAACGGTTCCATTTTCAAAATCATGTAAAAAAGAGCGAAATATAATAAACAGTAATACGGTTCTCGAACACAAAGGCAGGTACATAGTACGTACATCCACACATATATATACGCGATTTTGTGTTTTCTTATTATTAATATTTAATTGTTTGTTTGATTTGTTTCAGATTTCTGATGTGACAGATGATGTTGCTGTTGCCGTTTTCAATTTTTATTTTTCTTCTGCCCTTGAGAGATTTGCCTCGTGGGGCCCCCCCTCTGCGNNNNCTGCGCTGGTGTTAAATTAAAGGAGAGAAAGAATTTAGGCTTGAATCAAAATTTAATTGGATAAGTCATTTATGTTTACATATAATTTTATGAAAGTCAAAATTTAAAATTCAATTCATTTTTTTTTAATATTATTATAAATATAATTAAATTGTAAAAATCAATCTTTCTTACCCACTCAATCAATTTTTATTTATTAATGATCATACACTCATTTAATAATCATTATATTTAAAATATTATTTTAAAAAAATACTTCCGTCCCGTTACAGAACATTCTATCAAGATTTGTAACTATTACATCATTACGTAATCGTCGTGAGTAGTTGATCCATAAGTTACGAATTCTGACGGAATAATTGTGTAACAGAAATCTCTTATTATTTTAATATAAATTTAAAAATCCCATTAAAAGAAACATAAAAAGAAAAAAAAAGAAAGAAAAAAGACTTTAATGGCGGTCGACTTTTTGCACTCCCTATATTTACACTCACAAGTACCCTTCCAACCCAGAGTCTCTGCAAACATTGTTCGTTGTGTATCGGCAAGAAACTACAGCCATCGATTTCTAATCCCTTCACAACGCTCTCTTCACAGTGTATCATCTCCTCTGTTTTTCTGTTTCTATCTTGTTTGAGACAAAAATTATGTATAAATAAATAATAGGTGAATCTGATAAAAGGGGTTTTTCTATCGAGATCAGGCGGATTTTTATGTCGGCAAGTTTCGATTCGGCCATTGTTGTTTCCGAGGCTCCGGTGAAGCTCTGCTCTTCATCGCCGTCTTCTTCTTTTGGTGGCCGCACGCGAAAATCCCTCTGCTGTGGACTCCAGCAGAGCTCTTTCTCTCTCTACCCGACTGTATCGATGCGTTTGAGGCCCAAGAGGTAAAAAAATTGTTAGTTGTTCAATGAGAGCTGTAAACGAGTATGAAATCGAGCTCGAGCTCGGCTCGTTAAGGTCTCGAGCCTGTGCCGATCTCGAGCTTTAACGAGTCGAACTATAAAAAGATTATATAAAAAAACCGATTTTCAAGTCTTAACGAACCTTATTGAGCCGAGCTGAGCTCATCTCGTTAGCCAAACGAGCTTTAAATGAGCTTGAACTCGGCTCGTTAAGGCCTTGAACTCGAGCCGAGCTCGAGCCGTGCCAGGCTCGTCTAATTTAACAGCACTAGACTTGTTTGTGTTGCTTTGATGGGTTGTTCTGTATGTCATCTGAATTATTGGGCTGATCTGTGATTTTGTTATGCAGGACTTGTTCTGGAGTTGTGTGTTTTGGGGGTTATCACATAAACCGGTTATTCAATATTTTAGGTCCGCTTGATTAACTTAACTCCTTCACCTGAGTGCCCTTTTGTTTTAAAAATCATTATTCTTTTTTATTTTTTTGGAAATTTCTTGTTTTTGTTGAGTCATTTTTTTTTTTATCCAAATTTAAGAAAATAAATTTCTAGGGTATACTTATTGAGGTGTTTTCAAATTTAAAAAAAAAATAAATATTGAGCAAAGTGAAAAGTGAGGTTAAATTAAATAATTAGAAAGAAGAAAGAATAATGATGCGGGAGAGTAGGAAGCCAAAGACAGTTTCCTTGAACAAATCAACCCTTTGCCGAAAAGCAAGAGCCCGACACCCGACAGACCCATGAAGAAGGTCCGCATCATTTGGGACGACCCGGATGCCACTGACTCATCAGGTGATGAGCTATCTTCTGAGAAAAGGGTGAGACGTGTAGTCCAAGAAATCTTTTTGTCAGACAATGAGCTTGAGAGTTTGGTCGAGGAGAGCAACAACAGTGAGAAGAAGGGTTGTGTGGAGAAATACAGGGGCGTCCGTTTTAGAAAATGGGGCAAATGGTCTGCCGAGATTCGTGATCCTTTCAAGCAGAAACGGGTCTGGCTGGGCACCTACAACACGGCTGAGGAGGCCTCGAGAGCCTACGAGTCAAAGAGGGTTGAGTTTGAGACCCTTTCTATGAGGAGCTCGAATGAGGTCTCTAAATATGATGGAAATACCATTGGCCGCAAACTTTCTGAGTTCTCGATTGGGAGTACCGACTCGCTTGTATCTCTCACTTCCCCGTTGTCAGTTTTGGAGCTCGACAACTTGAGCTTGAAGATGGAGGATGATGTTCTTGTGGAGGCTAAGGTTGTTGAGAAGAAAGGGGATACTGAGATTGGGCTTATGAACAAGGAGCTAATTGATTTGGATGTGGAGCTCGGTATGCTTGTTGGAGGCAGTGATTTTGGACCGTTGGATGATTTTGCAATATGTTTTGATGATTTCCCGATTTGCGGAGTGGATGGTGGGGACCACCAGAGCTTGTTGCCGGAATTCGATTTCGATTTGGATGCGTGTAATGAGACCTTTTCTTGGATGGATGAGGGGATGAATGGAGTGACTCTCAATATAGCATGCCCATAAGTTTTGTAGTACTAGGATTATTGTTTGTATTTTCACCAGTGGTTTGTCTTGAAAGAATTTTTTAAAGTTTTTGTTTTTTTGAGAGAACTGTATAATTCAGTTGTGGAGGTTATCATGGAGTGTTTACTTTTGTTTGAATTTTGATTTGTGAGGGAGTTGTTCTTGTTTTGGGGGGTGATTATGTTCTGTGTGATAGCTTTTGGGGATCGTTTTTGGGTTTTTTTGTGCTGTTAGAGCCGTCCAAGAGGGGTTTCCTGAGCTTTTTGGTTTTGATATAATCCCTTTTGTTTCTCTGCCCTTTATTTTTTTTTTTTGTATTTTTTTTAAGGTTTTGAATGAACCAAGCCCTTATAACCAAACAGATTGGGAGAGTGCACAACAACCCTGAGCTTCTAGTCAGCAGGGTACTCAAAGCTAAATACTTCCCTAACACCACCATATTCCCTCTAAGCAAAAGACCAATTCCTCTTGGCTCTGGGCCAGCTGGAGAAAAATCACAAACTTCTTTTCCCAAAATGTGATTTTCAGAATAAACAATGGAGCAAAGCACAAACATCTGGAATAACCCATGGATCCCCTCCCTCTCTTCTCACAAACCTAAACCCCTTAACCCCTGGCAAAGCAGGCTTACCTGGGTGCAAGAACTAATGGATGAAACATGTAGAAATTGGAATGTGGAACTTGTGCAATCTGCTTTTCCTACTGAGGAGAATGAAGCCATCCTCAAGATCAAGGAAATGGACCCTAACTCAATGGACAAGCTCCTATGGCTGCACAACCCTTCTGGAAAGTAACTGTGGCAGAGGTCTACAAAACCTTGGTGGAGGAGAAGTGGAGGAAGCTAGATATTCCAGGCAGTAGTTCTCAAGCCAAAGACTTACTAAGCGCAAGGAACAGGATCTGGTCTACAAGGGTAGCAGGGAAACTAAAACACTTTGTCTGGAAATGCTTTAATAACTCCCTGACAGTTAATAATGCTCTCAACCACAGGCTCAAAGTGTTTGATCCAATCTGTAAAACTTGTGGGGAAGAGAATGAAACCATTGAGCACCTCCTGTTTCACTGCTCAAAATCATCAAGAGTCTGGAAACTAGCTGCTGACTATTGTACAATGGGATGGGCTAGAGGACTGCACTCATAGCTTCAAGCAATGGTGGACAAAACTCCGCTCCCTCAAACTTAATGCCATGGCTGAACAAAGAATCCAGCTCACCATGTATACACTTTGGTGGCTTTGGAAAGCCCGGAACCTATGGGTCTTCCAAAACCACTGGCTACCAGAATTCACTATAGTTCAAGCAACAGCTTCAGCATGGTTGGAGTTCAGAGACTCTTGAGTCTTATGTCATGTAGCAGGCTTTTGTGCAGTTGTGTAGCTAGTCTTGTGTTTTTATTGCCTTGGTTGTTTTCTTTCAGTTGATTTCCCAGCCTTTCTCTTGTAGTTGTGGTGGATTTGCTAGGTCTTCTGTTCAGTGGTTGATTCACCCTTTTTGGTTAGCTGATTCTCTTAAATTAGCAAGCTCATTCAATTAGCTACCTTCGACTTCATAGCCTCAGTCTATGCCAAGAACAGTTAGTTGATTTGTTCATTTTGTGATTGTATCAAGGTACCGGATGTGGTGTTTCTTGTATTCTGCATCTAGCAGGCGCATTGTAACCTTTGTACATTTTCTCTTATGGTATAAAATCTATCATTGTGAAAAAAAAAAAACAAAACAAAACTATTAATATGAGATGTTCTAAATCAAGTTGTCAATTTGTAATTCTGTATCTTATGTTTCTTGTAATTCAAATGAACTTTTTCTTATAAGAACATGGATGGGGAGACAATACACTTTTTTTTTTTTTTTTCGAACGATAGAAAATTTCATAAATGAAAATAAGTACAGAGTTCGGAGAGCTCACTAGCTCTTACAAAACAACACAGAGAATTATTCCGACGGTGGCCTAGCAACACAAATACAAATCGCAACTAAAGGCAAATACACAGATTTGACATCTTTAGAGCAAACCGACACACAAACAAACGAACCACAAAAAACACAACACACAAGGGACCACTGAACCTAAGAACCTAGTCCCCAAACAACGCAGAAACTAGACAAGTGAAAGGGAAAGAGAAGAACACACGACCTAAAGAGCATTAACCTGCTAAAATTCAATCCATTCTCGCAAAGCCGAAGAAACAACCACAGTCTCCGACATCCAAATCTTTTGAAAAACCCATAAATTCTGCGACTTCAAAAGCCATCATAGAATGTATGTAGAAAGTTGAATTCGCGCTTCGGAAGTCAGAGATTTCTTTATTTCTGCAATCCACCACTACCATCTTCTAAAATCTGTACCAGAGTAATCATGAGCATCCCACGAGACCGAGGATATTCTTCAAACTCTTCGAGCTCGAGAACAATAAAAAAAAAGGTGGCTAACAGTTTCCCTCAACTCCCCACAGCACGAACACAAAACATCAATCTCCATACCTTCACTGGCAGGCAATCAAAGAAGCACTTCCACACAAAATGCTTAAGCTTGTTCTTCACTTTAAATTCCCAGCATCTCATTCTAGCCTTTTTATCAGTTTGGATTAAAGTGCTGCAGCCAGGATTGTCTAGGCTCATCACCTTCTTCAGAATAGTTGCTGAGTAGGCAGATGCCACAGAGAAAGTACCTCTGGAGTCCTCCTTCTACATCCATCTATCTTTGTCTGCAGGATCAAGCCCCTTTATACTCAAAATAGTTGCACTGGATTCAGGAGTGAAGGTGCTTTGTATTAATTCTCTGTTCCAGCTTCTGCCATTATCCATCATAAGTTCCTGCACCCATGTCAACTGAACATTGAAGTCATTAGATACAGTAGATGGCACACCAGAACTTAGTCCAAGCACCCATGGATCTGAAAAGATTTTAGTGATCAGGCCATCCTTGATTTCCCTTATAAACCCCTGTTTATAAAAAGAGAGAACTCTGACCTAAGAATTCCAAAGCCAAGATGCATAATTAGACTTTCTAGGCTCAAGCACATTAGAAGAAGGAAAGTATTTTTCCTTTAACACTCTTGTCATAAGTGAATTAGGCTTGATCAGAAGCCTCCAGACCTGTTTCAATATAAGAGAATCATTGAACACCCTGACATCTTTGAAACCTAACTCCCCAGCTTCTTTGGGCATAGTGATCTTGTTCCAGGCCACCCAACCCCTTTCTTCTAATCAGCACCATTGGACCACCAAAATCTAGAACTGAGCTGAGAGATTTCTTTACAAATGCTAACTGGCAAGCAAAAGCAAGACATCACAAAGATTGGTAAGGCATTAATAACAGCTTTGAGGATCACTTCCTTACAAGCAGAGGATAAAAAAGAGTTCTTCAGTTATTAAGCCTTCTCTTAACAACAGATAAAACAAAGTCAAGCACTTCTCTATTTGATCTTCCAATCCCCATTGGTAGACCCAAATATCTAGATGAACTACACACAGTAATACCTCTGAGTCTATGACAGATATCAAGTTGCAATCCAGTGGAAGAGTTCTTACTAAAGGTAAAAAATGGAAGAGTTGTGGGTTTTTATAACAACTGTGAGGCATGATCTCCGAGGTTGGAGGTCGGTCGTTGGATCATGTGCGACATTAGTGGTCCCAATTGACCGAAAAAATTGATATGACAAGTTCTGAAAATGTTGTTCTTTAGTGAATGAGGATCAACAATCATGAACAAAGGTACTTTTTAGGGTTTCAAGGTACTTTTGACGGGCGCGGTTCCACCAGTAAGCTAATAAATTACATTAAAGGCTGATTAGACGTGCTTGGGAGAGAAATCAGTATTTTTGCATAAGACCTAAAAGCTCGTTCAAGAATGGGGGGAATAAATTATATAGTACCCTTAATAGCTCAGTTAACTGGCCTAAGTGGTTAGCTTGGCCGGTTCAAGAGAGCCTCAACTCGGTGTCAAGGCTTGACCTCGTCAGGGAGCTCAGTATAGTAGCTTAGGGTACGAGTCGACCTGTACATGGGAGTGAGGGGTTGAGCTCCTCACGGAGCCCGACAAATGAGGGATCATTATGACCTAAAGGTTGATCTGCTTTGCTAATTTCGTATTGATAAAAATATAGTTTAGCCCATGCTATATTACATTAATTTAATGTTAATCTTATTTTGCCCCAAACTAAATTAAATTTATTTAACTATAAATCAATAAATTATATACTTAAACATTATTTAAGTTTCTTTTTCACTTCTCTTTTTGGATTATTATGCCCATTTGACGTCATTTTTGTGTTTATTTTTTATTATTTGATTAGATAAATTTTATTTGATTATTTTTATTCGAGACAATATTTGATTGCCTTAGACTTTCATTAGCCTACTTAGTATGCAATTGAATTTATGAATTCCATTAGCCTACTTAGTATAAATTTACTGAATTTTTAAATAAATGATAGTTGATTATATGAAATTTACTACTACTATCATTTATTTGTCTGACAAATTCAATTAAATGACATGACATATATAACAAGAATGAGTGGACTATATTGTTTTACAGCAGTTCTTTTAATAAATTATATTATTTTTATTTAAAATTCAAGTACATGAGAAATATTTTATTTGTTCAATTTTAAAGAATAATAATGAAACAATCAGAAATAAACATTTGTCATATGAAAGAGTAGTTAAAAATTCATAAGTTGAAGGAGATATTTTTGTTAAAGGAGATCATCTCCATATAAAACACGACAAACTAGAAAGTATAATATTTTTGTTTTATAAATGTAACATTTACTTTTTAATATTATTTACAGTGTGATTAATGTAATATTAAATGTAATAATTATTTTTATACTTTGTTTCTTTGTACATGTGTCTAGCTAGATTTTTTGAATCGAGTAATTCAAGCTCAAACTCGTGCTCTTTTAATAAACGAGTTGTCGAGGTTCGGCTCGTTTAATAACCAAAAAAAATAAAAAAATGAGCTTGATA